CCTACTGGGGATGTGCCCGCAACCAAGGTACATGCCCTTGACCGGAATCGAACCTGGGACCTTTCAGTCCGCAGGCCGACGCTCTATCCACTGAGCCAAACCGGTTTCGGCTTGATTTTAATTTAACCACTTGTGGACTACTTCAGGAGTGTTAAGAAATTACTTGCAGATATACTTAAAAATACTGAATTAACAGCTAATTTGAATGATATGTTTCTAGGCAGTTCTCATTTTGTCACTTACTCCATTTAAACTCAAGGTCCTTACTTATACCTCATCTCTTTCCTGAGCTGTAGAAACTCTACCTGGGAATCGAGAGAGGAATACCAGGTAATCTCCATTTCCACTTCTCTGTGAGCTTGGGTTTGGAGAAATGAACCTCAAAAAGTAGAAAGTAAGATACTAAACAGGATTGAATCAACATAAAGGGACCCCAAAGTAGAGGGATGGAACCAACTTTTTAGGTTATAAAATGCTCCCAAGAACCTATTTCTAATCAGAATTGGCATCTGATTTCTCTACATCTTTATTATGTCTTTTTTATTATTGCCATTCTGTGGGTGTGAAGTGGTATCTCATTGTGATTTTTATTATCATTTCCCTAAAGGCTAATGCTACGTATAGATTTTGAAACTATCATTAAACATTTCAATCTTCAGATATGATTACTGTTTTTTATAGATAATTATTTAATATGATTTACTTTAAAATTCCACATCTTCTCTTAACAGGGGACTTATTTTTAAGTTGCAGAATATTAATGGAATTGGGAGCTTTGATTAAGAGAATATTTCTAATTAGAGAAATGGTTCCATAGTTACCCATATATAATTCCAATGGGCTAGCTAAAATATATTTTGTTTATGGAGTTAGCACTTAAATCTTAGTCCTTAAATCTGGTTTTTATTTTACTTTATTAAGGGCTAAGATTTAAAGACTTATATATATTTTATCAACATATAAAAATATATATTTTATCAATACTGACTTGGTAGTCCCCATACCTATATACAGTAAAAGACCATACTCACAAATGGAAATGCAGATATTTTTTAGGACAGGAAAGGGTTGATATTTTTGGAAAATATCTTCAGAGTTAAATAATTCTTGAGGATGCTTTGATTTTTCTATACCCTGTATTCTTCTTTGTGTTGAATTTTTACTTGAAAGGGACGTAGAATAAGGTTTTATGTTTTCTTTCCTGTTATCCCTTTCTTTTGATATTCCTTTTCATGCTATACTTTAAGGACATCTTTTGGGATAAGCAAGCTAAATTAAATCAAGGAGTTAGAGTGCAGCTTTGATGAGGCTAAGCAGAGATTTGCTACATTTCTGTGTAGAATGTCTATTAGGATACCTTTGATTGCAACTAAAGGGGTCTTCCTCATTTAGGGGGTGTCCCAAAATCAACCCAAAGCATGGTTGTCAGCATTTTTGACTAGTTAATGTGTGAACTTTTGTCTATTTTTATATATTAAAAATACATGCAGCTTTTATAAAATCCTGGGTTTTTAGTCTGCGAGGAGCCTTTGAAGATCACCCAGTCTTAACCAGTAACTTTGACTAAGTAACTTTGACTAAGAATATAGCTAGTTACATAGTTAACGTACAATGACTGCTTGAACAATGTTGAATGAATAAATGTATACTGAATGTGTTGATAACAGAGCTGAGACTAGAGACTGGGTCTCTTGACTAATACTGTGGTGTTTTCCCTCCATATTATGCCACTTTCCAGATAGTACATGGAGATTTTGCTAGTTGTACTTATAGAAACCCAAGAGAAAACAAACATAAATAGTCCAGGCTTCTCTTCTGACATTTTCTTTGTTATATTTACAGCTGAAGGCAGGTACAATATCCACACAGCAGATGGCAAATACATCTTCAAAGAAAGAGAATCATTTGATGGCAGAAACATCTTAAAGGTCAGTAAGAAAGAGAGTCAATTAGAAATCCATTGACCTGTGTCCTAAATAAGCAAGGAAAACAAGTCATTCTCTTTTTCACAATAAAGTATATTTTTCTTATTCTTCCCATGAGGCTCATTGACTGAAAGGGTTACTTAAAAACACTTTTTTTAATGTCCTAAAAGAAAAGAGAAATTTTTTGACTCTGTTAAGGCTGTGGTATCTCTCGAGTATTTGAAATTGATGATTTAAGCAACAAGAATCCAACTACTTGGATCCATAGGAATAAGTTGGTTTTTAACCTGGTGAGTTTTATACTGTTATTTTTATCTTTGGAGGTCTGAGTTTGCATTTTTTAAGTGAAAATAGAATTGTTTGTCTTGTTCTAGAAGTTTTCTTTTCTCCCACAAAGTGACTCTCCAAAGTTGTTTCATAATCTATTTTTACTCAGGAACAGCTCATGTCCTAAAAAGTAGGTAGTTTAGTTCTGACTGTTGAGGCTTTGCTTTCTCCATGTTAAATTAATCCATGAAATTTAAATAAAAGGGGCTCTTCAGGATTGCATTTATCTTTCTTCCACAGACCACATTCTGTAATGCCCACAATTTATGCCCTCTCTATCAGGTTAACATGCCATTGCGTTTCTGGGAAAAGAGAAACATAAGTTGATGCCAATGGAGAGGTTTTTGATTCTGCATTTCACTTGTTCTATAATGGTTTAGGTCATACATTTGCAAGGCCATGGATGTTTTCTTTGGAGCTGGGAGAGAGAAAATGCATATAATCAGCTTTAGCTTTGGAAATACTTTTCTTTTTTCTTCCATACCCCGTCCTTGTCCTTCATGCCCTTATCTCATTTTGTCCCTTGACAGTTTTCTTGTCAATTGCCTCTACTTACTGACATCACTCTTCAGCAGCTGCTGAGCCCAACAGGGCAATGACAGCATTCACTTAGGCCAGTGGTTCTCAACCTTGGCTGCACATTAGAATCACCTGGGAATCTTTTTAAAATCCTGATTTCTGGGCCTCATCCTCCGGAAATTCTGTTTCTTTGTTACTAATGTTGTGGCCCCACCCCATAACAAAGAAACAGAGGATGAGGCCCAGAAATCAGGATTTTAAAAAGATTCCCAGGTGATTCGAATGTGTAGCCAAGGTTGAGAACCACTGATTTAGGCCAACATTCCAGCTCCCACATTGCAGAGCTACATTGATTCCTTCTTTTCCTTATACTGTATCTTTCCTCTTTTTAAATATTTTTCTTGTTTTCAAAGTGTTTATGGTAGGTTTGGGTTTGAGTGACAGGCTGCTAATGAATTTAGTTGCAATTAACTACTGATTTTCTCAGGCCACAGCTTCAGTGTGATATGAATCTTTCTCTTCCTCTATCTCATTTCCTTGGAGACTTTCCAGTAGTATAGTTAATTATTTTGCTTTTCTGTTGTTAATTTGATTAAGAAAGAAAATAGACTGAGTGGGAAAAGAAATCTGTAGGAATGATTCAAATCAACTTGGTTCTTTTGGAATTAGAATAAAAACACAGACGATGTGTTGATGTGAAGTGCTTTGATGTCTGTAAGAGGGAGGTGCCAGCAGAGAGCCTGTGGGTGTGTGTGTGTGGGGGTGGTGGTGGTGGTGGTGGTGGTGGCTGTATGAACATTATGGATTTCTCACTTGATATTTAATTTCTGTCACTTTGTTAAGTCAGTTTTCCATTTAAAGATGCTTTGTCTTAAAATCTCCCTAACCAGCTCAGTGATGACATGAGTGTAGCTCCCTCTAGTGTTGGCAAGGCCTTGCTACATCTTGTATCTCCATAGCAGTAGTACCTGTATTGGTTCATGCTGAATCAGAGTTTTAGAACTGAGTAATTGGAGATCATTTCTTTAATCCCGTTCCACACTAATGACACAAGATCCAACCAGGTTAAAATGATTTGCAAAAGATTATTGCTAGTTAGTAATATAGTTTGAATCAGAACAAAAATTCAAAACTCACAAATTAAAATTGTTTCTGCTGCCTCCCATAAAGATACTCAGTGTTTATTTTTATTTAATATATTTTTTATTGATGTCAGAGAGGAAGGGAGAGGGAGAGAGAGATAGAAACATCAATGATGAGAGAGATTCATCGATTGGCTGCCTCCTGCTCGCCCCCGACTGGGGATGGAGCCCGCAACCCAGGCATGTGCCCCTGACCGGAATCAAACCCGGGACCCTTCAGTCCGCAGGCCAATGCTTTATCCACTGAGCCAAACCAGCTAGGGTGATACTCAGTGTTTAGATAGAGATCATTAGATATTTAAAAATAGGCATATCTATTTGAACTGTGATAATGTCTGATTAAAACTTGTTCCATAGCCCTGGCTGGTTTTCTCACTGGTTAGAGTGTCGACCTGGGGACTGAAGAGTCCCAGGTTCAAGTCAGTCAAGGGCACATATCTTGGTCACAGGCTTGATCCCTGGCCTGGGCGGGGTGCATGTGGGAGGCAACCAGTCCATATGTCTCTCTCACATTGATGTTTCTCTCTGTCTCTCCCCTCCCTTCCACTCTTTCTAAAAATCAATGGAAAAATATATCTTAGAGTGAGGATTAACTAACTAACTAACTAACTAAATAAATAAAAATAAAACACAAGCCCTTAGGCATTTGGGGCTAATAAAAGACACACACACACACACACACACACACACACGCACGCACACACACACACAAAACTTGTTCCATAAACATTGGGGCAGTGGGTGTGCCAGTTTGTCTAACACTGTGTGGCTAATTAAGAATTGGACTTTTGAGCTGATTTTAATACTGTCACATACTTTTTGTGTACCATCTGCCAGACCATGTGCCCTGCAGATAAAACAGCCATCCTATGTAATAAAGATGTAATATGCAAATGGTCATTACACTGTGAAGTGTAACGACTGACCGGGGACGGATCAGCAGGGGGGTGGGGCAGAGAGCTACAAGTGGGTAGCAGAGAGCTACAGGAGGGGCCAGGGCAGCAGACTATGTTCAGAGAGCTACAGGAGGGCAGGGTAGCAGGTGGAGAGCTACTAGAGGGCGGCAGCGAGCTACTGGCGCACGGATTCCTGCACAGGGCTACTAGTTATGATATAATCCCTGCCTTCCAGGAGCTTCCTGTCTTTGAAGGGGTACAGATGATTAACTGGCAATTTACAATACAAAAGGGTGGGGGCAAGTTATGAGTATGGAGGAGTACCTTTGAATACAGCTAGTTATAACAAAACATCCTTTGGTATGGTTTCCAATATTTTACTCCAGAAAATATCATCTTTCACCTGTGTTTTATCAAAGGGATTAACTTTTCTTTGAGAATAAAGGTGACATATGGCCTCCCCAAATACATAAGAGGTAATAACTGTATTTGTAAAGTAGTTATAGCAGTCCACCTTTTGGAATTACCACAAATAGACATGTCTTTCTCCAATAGAACATGAGAACCCGTGGCTCCTGAAACTCTTGAGGGGAAAAATAAAAAACCAATGGATTATACATATAGTTTTTGTACCAGATAAAATTATTATGTTTAGAAAGGAGGAAAAATTGATTTCACTAACAAGATAGGAACTGACTTGGAGTAAACGGAAAGGTTAACTGCATAGTTTGTTAAGGTTGAATTCAGTTGCAGTTAACTACTGCAGTTAATATGTGTGCAGCATATTAGCAGCTACATAGATCACGTGTCAGGAATGTGGTGATGGGAAGCAGCCTTGGGAAAGAATCAACTTAACCTACTATTTAAAGAGAAACAAAACGAGAATGCAAGTCATTGCTCATTGCTGTAAGAATGTAATGAGTAACAGCCAATTGCCGTTCTCCTCCGTGAAGAGAACTGGTCATTTTGGCTCGATGCAATAGTTCTGGGTACCTTAAAAAGAAAAAGGAAAAAAAGCTCTAATGACTTTTGGAAGAAGAAGCCACGTTTTTCTTTTGTACATCTCTTTTGAGAGTTGTTGCAGGTATCTGCTTATTTCTGGTTGAAATAAGACTTTTCTTACCCCAAGAAGGACTTTGAAAGAACTGAAAATTAAAGAATAATTCTCCTGTGTGTTTTTCAAACTAGAAGAGGAACAAACATATTTAGTTACGGTGGGTTTTTTAATAGAACACTGACAGATAACTTTGAAAGGAGGATGTTTGAGTGAAAAAGACCTAAGCCAAAGTAATAGGATAGTATACCCTCAGAGCATTCCATTTCTAAGCTAATAAATACAAACTAAAATACTATTTGTTTATCCATAGGCAATGCTAAAATTATGCGGACCTAAAGACACACTGCCAGGAAGTAACTGCTCCCTTCCTAGCCAGAAGTAGAATGGTCATTAACTGCCAGCTCTGGAGAGAGAAATGGTCCTAATGGCAGTCTGTTTGGGGGACTTATGAAATGGCCTTAAGCAATGGAATCAGTATTCCAGGCGTGTGCTCTCGGCAGATTGAGCAGGGGTGCAGTATTAACTGTTCAGAAGCTTAGCTGTAACTGCAGAATGAAGAGGAGACATCAGAGCTTTCGTTGTACTCACCAGAGGAGGTGGTTTGGTACAAATAAAGGCTTAGTAATATATTTGGGAAGGAATAGAAAGAAAGTACTGTAGGTCCAAGATAAAGGACGCCATGGAAGTGCCATTTCTTTAGACATTTTAAAGTCCTGGGAAATTCAAGCCAAATAAAAAGGAAATGAATTTGTGCCTTTCCCACTTTATATATAATAATCTTTAAATTTAGAAAAAGAGGGAGTTTGCAGTATTAAACTATATTAATTGTAATGCTTTACTTGAAAGCACGTTTTAAGTCTGTCCACATTGAGACTTTTCTTGAAAGATGTAAATAAGAGTAAAGCAAATATTTATTTATTTTTGCTTTTGTTCCATCTCTTCCCCTTAAACTCTTTTAAAAGGACAGTTAGAATGAATACATTTAAATTAGATCTTTATTTAGTTTGCTTTACTTAGAGAAGTTTCTGTAAAGGAAGCTGTTTAAAAGTACGTATGATTTTT